AACTTTCGTACATTGAGGATTTATTTTAATAAAAATTCAAATAAACGTAATTTTATATAACGTTTTAAAGATAGAAAATTATTTACGTATTGATATTGAATTGTTAATCATTAGATTGAAGTGTAATAAAATATTTAATTTATAATTACTTTTTGGCTTACAAATTCTTTAGAAAATATGGATAATTTTTTCACAACTTTCATCAAAATTGTATCATATTATAATTATGATCAATTTATTAATAATTAAATAAAAAGAAACAATTTCAGAAACAAAACCTTTTACATATTTCTTCAATCAGTATATTTTATTTGTCTATTAGAAACGTTTCTTTTTGAACTTGGAAATCATTTCAAAGTAATTAACAAAGCAAGTTTTATTTGAAAATTATGTATATTAATTGCACATTTGTTTCTAAACAAAATGATAATCTTTGATTAAATAAAAAAATTACGAAATACAGATTTTTTTTAATAAAAATTATATTATTCATCAATCTAATTCAAATAAACGTAAATTTATATAGTTTTTAAAGTATTTTCTTTAATAATATAAAATCATTAAGTAAATTATTACATGGAAAATTAATTTGCTTATTGATATTTAATCATTAGATTGAAGTGTAATAAAATATATAATTACTTTTTGTATTTCAATTTCCTTATAAAATATGGATATTTTTACACAACTTTCATCAAACTTATATCATATTATAATCAAGATTAATTTATTAATAATTAATTTAAAAAAATAATATTTCGTAAACAAAACATTTTACTTATTTTTAATTACAGATTTGTTTGTAAAAAAAATGATAACCTTTGATTAAACAAAATCCTTAGAAAATATTTTTTATTATGTCATAGAATATTTATTTTAAAATCTATTCCTGCGAAGATTAGTTAAATCTAATGGCGGTAGACATTTCTTTTTTTGGTAAACTTTCCATTGAAAGTTTTTACCATTATTTTCTACTTTTAATTTGTTGGTTGGTTGGCGTCTTGTAGGTTAACTTCAGTAGTATATTGATGCTCTGGGATTCCACTATTTCCTTTCACTGTGAATCTGCTACTATCCTTAACACTGTCATTGTCCATCGACTTGGTTGAAGGTCTATATGCAAAACGTCACAAAGGGCCTGCCTGACCAGGATTCGAACCGACGCCCACAAAATCGTGGGTAGGGCGACTTAACCATTTGGTTATTAGTCTCCCTGTTACATAATATAGTTTATTTTATTAATTTATTGTAAACATTCTTAATTAAATTAATTGGTTGTCCTTTCTGTATATTCAGAAACATATCACCATTTGCATTAGGCTTTGAAGGTGAATGGTGTTTTGGCACGAATCACAGCATCGGCGGATTGAATTAAAATATTAATTAGTAATACGGTCGAAAAGGGGGGAAAATCCCCGATAATTAGCCAATTAATCTGAACCGAAATTATTCGTCCGTTAGGATGGGCCTAATTTACTGCCGCTCGACACGCAACAGCCATCCTCGATGAGTTATTGGAGAAATAGAGAGAAGAAGAAAAAAAAAATAAGCAGGTCAATGCTGCGAATCCATACTTCTTCCATCTGGTCAAACCGTCATCATCATCAAAAAATCATCCTCGGAAACGATGATTCCCATAAATCGGCATCGAGACCAGCAATTTAAATGTCAGATGATCTCGAACTTCCGATTCGCATTCATTATTCGTTTGTTTTCGTTTTCTATTGATTTATTTCTCAAAGCACACTCTTAACCTTCTGTCGACTGTCAACGCTCAAATTGATATTTTTATTTATATATTCCTACTAGTTTCATCACTGCTTTCAATCCACGGATTTCAATGCCCTTCAATTAAATCTACCTAATTCCATCATTATTTATAACTAAAGGTTGATGGTTCATTAATACGCAATTAGTGCAATACTTTTAATTTATAGATTTTTTTTTTATTTATTTACGATATTTAAATCGTATTTTGAACTTCGTATAAATCATCAATTTTTACATAATATTTCATCGAAAATTATACAAAAGCATCGTAACAAATAATCCTACATGTAAATATATTGAAAAAAAAGGATATAAATTATAATTTAAGATTTATAACAATACAAATATCTTACATAAATAAATATAAAAATTTGGACACAGGAATACCTCGCATAGTGCGGGTAATCAGTTTCGGTACTGTTTTAAACCGAACTAATCGAGAACTTCAAAAAACAGAACGAAAAGACTTGTTTTTCTCAAATAAAATGTAATTTGTTTTGTAATGATTGAAGCCGCACTATGCGAGGTATTTCTGTATTTAATTTTTCAATTAGGTGCAAAACGCTTAATTTCTTACATTAGAAAATTATCCATTATTTTAAATAAATTACGCATAAAAATGCCTCACATTCCTACTTTAATTAATTGTTCAATTTTAGTATCAGTATTAATTAAATTTTGTTAAATGTTACAAATTAATTGCTTTTTAAATCAATCATATTATACTCCTGACATTCTGTTAATATTTTTTTAAAAGCATCCTTATCAACAAAAACCACATAATTAGTTAATTAAAATATAAAACCCAATTAACAACGAAAAATGTCTAGTTTTACTATCATTTTATTGACTGTTATTTTTTATGAACTCTCGCGGTTGATTTCCAAAGAGACGAATCTCTGAGAAGATTTCCAATCGAGATTACGTTTTTTTTTTTCTATTTATTTTTATTTTATTTGATTGGAGGAGGCGGGATGCCGTAACATAAATTCACCACGAAGACTTCATCGACATTTTGACCTTTCGATTCCAACAGTAAATTTGTTAACAGTAGCTGCGAGAACGACCAAAAATAGAAACGCTAATTGGAAATTAATATTCCGGGCAATATATTTCTTTGAAACACTTCAATTAACAAATACAAATATGCAAATATAAAAATATTTATTGAATAAAAATTATTAGAAAAGAAAACATAACTTTAGTTAGTTTTAGCGAAAATTTCATAGACAAAAAACATGTAAATAAATTAAGTCAAGTTAAAAATTGTAATGTTTACGTTTTAACGTTTAAACAATTTCATTAGAAAATTACAAAAAAAAAATATTTTGTTAAAAGAACTAATAAAAATTATCTTTGAAGTAAATGGAAAACTTCAATAATCATAAATTTTTCCTATTTAGTGAAAATTGCATATTTTAATCAAATACATATTTTTTTTTTCATTGAAAAGTAAATTATTACATGAAAGTTGCAATAAAAACCTCCAAAAATCTTGCTAATAAGAAATCCTATAATTAAAATTATCTTCATCAGTGCCTACAAAAATTTTAAGATCATTACTTTCGGTCATTATCTGAAATGTAGTGGATTTAGACCACTTACAAAATACAGGTATTTCCCGACTTATGAACTCCCGGACTTACGAACAAAACTCTAACTTGTTACAAGCTGATATATAGTGATAATAAAATTAACTGTTCAAACAAAAATTGATAATTTCTTTAATAAAATATAATATTTTTGTTTATTTTAATATAGTTTTTCAAATTTATGTAATACGGAAAACCATGATAAAGTATTGTAAGATAAGTATATTTAGAAGTTTTTAAAATTCTCCCGACTTACGAACAAATTCCATTGGAACGGAACTATTTCGTAAGTCGTGAATACCTGTAATGTCTCTAGTTATTGAACTAAGTGTGAAAATGTCGGTGACAATCGCATGCCCGACAACCGAAATCCCGTCTATCGAAATCTCGATGTTCGAAATTTCGACGTTTGAAATCCCGAGTGTATCGAAATCCCGACGTTCGAAATCCCGGCTACCATAATCCCGACAATATCTGGATTTCTACAATAACATTTTTATGGTAGTCGGGATTTCGATATAGCCGGGACTTTGAATGTCGCGATTATGGTAGTCGAGATTTTGACAAAGTCGGGATTTTAATACAGCCGGGATTTCGAACGTCGGGATTTCAATAAACGGTCTTTCGGTTGTCGGACTTGCGATCTAGACCCTGAAAATGTATGTATTCAAAATTATCATATACTTTACCGCAAATTATTGTTTATCACATCAAAATATTTGATGTTAGTCAACTATAAAAGAATTGAAAACAAACAAATTTGAATATGTGCTTAAATTATTTCTAAACTCAAATAACATAAACATATTTATTGCAATTACTGAATTACTTACAGGAAATTAAGTAAGCAATTTCCAAAATAACAAAAAAAAAAACTAATTTAAACAATAGTAATTACAAAAACTTGTTTAATTTAAAATTATTTAACTTTTTGATTCACGCACACGAAAAAAAGAATGCAGCTATATCATATACACAAATATCGAAATTGCCTTCAGGTTTTTGGGGCCCGGTTTGGCTTCATGAATTACAGTATTTGCATTAAATCGCGAGATTGGAAACGAACGCGGAATTGGACAGCGCATAAAACAAACATAAACATTTAATGGAATCCGCGAGCGCCGGACGGTAATTAAAACCGAAAACCGATTACCAAAACCGACCCGTATTAATGGACTTTTTCTTGAGCCCTTCGGATGAACCATTACATTTTCAGAAAAGCTGAACAACAACAACAACCAAAAAAAAACGAAGACAAAACAGCAGCTGCAGCAGCAGCGACGAACGAGTGGTCTCATTAATAGCGCATTAGTACTGCACTCTTCGGCAAAACCGTGACGTAATCCGAGCATGAAATATGCATTGCGTAATAAACGCGGCCGAGGCGTGTTTTCGAAAGGTGATAAATCGCGGAGCGAAGTTTTTAAGTAATTGACATCGCAAAGAGGGAGGAATCAATCGATCGCCAAGGGGTTCAGAAGGGAGAGGAAGGGTAGTGACGAATATCCGCACTTAAAGTGCAAACACGGCGAAGGAAGGAAAGAGAGCAAAAGTCAAATTTCAAGTTTCTTGTAGGGCATTAAAATTGCACCGATTGATCACTGTGTCAGGGACTACACGGCCTAAATTATGCATCGTGCCCTTTATAACTCTCTCTCTCTCTTTCCATCCCGAAATGACCTGGGGGTGATGATGTTTTAGGAGCGGAGCAACTGGTGCGGCCAGAGAAAAGGGCAATTAATAATTCCGTTTCTATACCTCATCAATTTGCTAGCTGTTATTTTATTTTTTGTGCTCTACCATCTTCATCTTTATCTTAGCATATTTTGATCTCTGTTTGCCTGCGGACCACTCCGATCGACTACACATCGTCCGCATCCTTGACATCGGCGGTCCAAGTATATAAAAATCGGAATTGCTTGAGGTCTACCGAGTGGACTTGAATACGCCAGACAGATTGGCGATCCGGATTCACCTCATTCATACATTCTTTATCAGCGAAAACATCGATCCGTTCGCCTTACAAACCAATCGATTATATCTTTACATAAACCCAAAACCAAAAAAAAAGGAAACGCAGTGCATCAAAGATTACATCTTAACAAGACGGAGGAAGAAAGTGATTATTTTGTGTTACTAATTACATAATCCGTAAGTACTACTTATTAAGTTTCAATTAAATCTTTTTGTCGGTATAATCGATCGGAATCCCCACATTACACAAACTAATACAAAATAGAACCACCACTAGTAGCGTTATTGTTCCAAATTTCCCGGGCTTAAACTGAATCCGAAACCGTCATCAAATAATATAACAGATACAAAAAAAAAACATCACAAACAGCACCAGTTTCACAATTTACCCCAATTTAATCTGTGCAAATATTATTTCATACATTATTATTATTATTTACCAATTGAAATGTAAATAAATAATAAATTTAAATATATATTAATGTATTATTTTTCACATCGAGCGGATTTCTTCGTGCAGCTAAAGTGATGATTTAAAATTTGCGACAAAGTCTATCATTTCCTATGTCACTCTTGAATCTTCGTCAATGTTTGCCTTTTCACCAGGCTACATTTGTATCATCAGTCAAATATTTCGAGCAACCTTCACGAGGTTCATCCTCCAAAGAAAAATGTCCTGTCAGAAATCTTTGAATAGTCACAAGTGGTGATGCATTCACTCCATATGCATTTTAGCATACCTGGAAAATTGGCATAGGCTTGAGTTGACGTCGAAATCCGTAAAGAATGACAAAACAAATTTTTGCTGTATTGATGGTGGAATTTCTACCAACTTTACATCACCAATCTTGCATTTTCTCCTATCCATTCTTACCAATCTTCTTGAAATTTTACATGAAATATCGTTAAACTTTAACAAATTGAGAAACAACTTTTGTTTCTTCAGAAACAAAAGAATTAATGCCAACCTCGCGAACTTTTATTGTATAACATAATATGATATTTAATCCATAAATAAATCTATTCAAATTACTTGAAACTTTTCTAATTGAGTCCGTACAAAGTTTTTTTTTGTTGCTGTAAAAATTGCTTAATTGGTTTATTATTGTTTTAGAATCGTTTGGTACGTAATACCAATTAAACGCAATTTATTTGCATCTTTCCCATGTTTAAAACTTACATAATTTGTTTTTGGAATCAATTAATCATAATTGCAGAAACATAATTAAAACTGTATTTTTATCACAATTTCATTGTATAAATTCTAAAAAAATAAATATTATTGTATCATATACAAATTTATTTAACTCTATCAAACCTTGAAAACTTAATAACTAATTACATATTAATCTGTATATATTATTTTGGTCATTCACTTAAGTTTATTTTTCTAAACGAAAAACTAATATTTCAAATAAGAAATTTGCCTCGAAAGTAATATGATCATATTTCTTAAAAGTGGTATTCTTAATAACAATATTGCAATAATTCTATTAATTTTATGAAATTTGATATTTTGGGAACTCGTAAAACCATTAATTATTTATTAATTATAATAAATATATATATTTTTGTATTTTTTTACTATATTGAATATATGCATTAATTAAAATGTAATTTCAGTGTAAATAAATTAAATATAAGCAGAAATTATCTGAAAATAAATTATAAGCTTTTCCAATAATCGAATGGAAACGTTAAATTACAAAGCAACGTAAATCATATGTGAATGCAAAACGACTGCATTTGTAATATTCGCAATTTCCAGTGCAGCAATTGGAAATGATGGTTCGAGATGAAGAACATTAATATATCGTCTAATATTATTATAGGATGGGGGTATAGGATAGAATGTAATATGAGTTCGGGTATATTCAATAATTCAATTCGAGCATTGTGTACAGGATTGTTAGGTTGTCGGATCTAGGTAATCGCTGTTGGCCTGAACTGAGGCCAAATTATTAAGAGCAGGTTTGCGGTAACAATATTGATCCACTGTCAATACCATGACTGAAAATCATTCCATAAAGTAAGTGCATCGAACACACGAAAAGCAATTTACAATTTTTCTATTCCATTTTACAATTTATTTGTGTTTTCAATCAAAAATATTACATCATTTTTTATATATTATATTCTTGAATCTATTCTTGAATAATTTCAACAATTTGGCTATAATTCGCGTTCAAAAATATACTAATGAAAAGTGCTAGAAAAAGCAGTAATTTATATGTTTTTCTTAGGAACTATAATAGATAGAATGGATCCAATATATGCATATAGAAGTTGCATATTTGGGGATTATAGAGAGTATACCTTTATTAATGTAGTTCCATTCGTTTGGCTGTAATTCATTTAAAATTAAAATAATAAAAATTAACGCTCGAAAAAGCAATGTTTCACATTTCGATGATTTTCTTAGAAACTATAATAGATAGATTGGATCCAATATATGCATATAGAAGTTGCATATTTGGGGATTATAGAGAGTATACCTTTATTAGTGTAGTGCCATTCGTTTGGCTGTAATTAATTTAAAATTGAAATAATGAAAAATTAACGCTCGAAAAAGCAATGTTTCACATTTCGATGATTTTCTTAGAAACTATAATAGATAGAACGGATTCAATAGATTCATATGAAAGTTGAATATTTGGGGAATATAGAAAGTATCCTGTTATTGCTGTGATGTTAAAAATTGAAACAACAACAAAATAACGCTCGAATAAGCAGTTTCTTCGGTTTTTAGTAATTTTCTTAAAAACTGTAAAAGGTTGAATATATGCATATTAAAGTTGGATATTTGGGGAATGTAGCTAGTATTCAATATTTGCTTAAAATCATCCGTTTGACTGTAATTCACTTTAAAAAATGAGGTAACGAAAAATTAATGCTTGAAAAGGCAATGTTTCACATTTCAATGATTTTCTTAAAAACTGTATGAATGGACATATTTTAATATTTATTGAAACATTCAATGAAATATAGAATATTGTTATAATATCATCATTTCTTTTTAAAAATAATTAAGTCTATTTTTTGGATTTATTCAATTATCAATAAAATAACATAAACGTTTTTCACATACTAAAAATATTACTTTATATGTTCATAAGTACATCAATTCCTGGCATAGTCTGAATAATCGATTCCGCCAATATCCAGCACTGTTTGTAATCATACTAATCCGGACAATGCGAGATATTGCTTTATTGTCATTATTGAATAGACATATTTTCTTCTCTATTAAAAAAATTCAACGAAATAAAGAATATAATTATAATATCATCATTTCTTATTAAAAATATTACTTCATATTGTTAAATAACTAATAATTAATCACTATTTTATCTGCATAATATTTCTAAACTAATTTTCATAATTAAGATATTATTTGAAGCCAGAATAAAGAGGATTTTGAACATTAAACAGTAGCTTCAGATTGGGTATCAGATGACACAGCAATACTAATCTCAACAGTGCATAGAAATACTCCAACATTTTTTATAGGATTATAATGCTTCCCTGATTTTATTTTATCTTAGTTCTCTAAAGAAAATTAACATCATTGTTACATAATATAATTTTATTAAATTGTTTTGTATCACTTGTATAAATTTGATTTTTATTAGAATTACAATACTAAGTACTTCAATACATCACATAGTGCGGATTTGATCAGTTCGATTTTTTTTCTATATATAATTCCTCGATTAATCACACACACTAGATTGAATATAAAAGTTGGTATTCAATATTTGCTTTGTATGCGTTTGGTTGTTCAAAAAAAAAACGCCCGAAATAGCAGTGTCTTCAGAATTAAGTGATTTTCTCAGTAACTATAAGAGATATTGAATTGAAAGATGCATATGAAAAGAGGAGATTTGGGGAATATAATACAACTATTATTAAAGTTTTTCCTCTAATTGGATTCGCGTTTGAAAATGAAGTAATTTTTAAAGATGGATTAATTTCGATATGATTAACTAAAAAATAATAATAATTAATTATAATAGTAATTATTTCTAAATTAATTAAGTTTACAATGTATTTCTTAACTGACTGTGAACTGGGTGGAATAATTCACAGATTTTCTCTCAGAGAAAGGGAAGGAGGCTTATTTAAAATAGGCCATATATTAGGAATCATATTAAAGTCTGCTGAAAGCAGGTATATTTATGAGTGACATGTCGTAAATAATTTATATGTTTCTGTAATGCGGGAGGAGGTGGCGGAGACGGAGGGGCGGCTGTTCGTTTGGGGGAGGACAGCGGGTCGTGCACGGCCCATGTGTGTGAGGTCATGAAGGGGATTTTCTCAGACACCCCGTCGTCCTTCCACGTCTCCTCCACACATGCATCGTCTCTTCCGCCACCCTCGGCTTCCCATCTTCTTCCAGCTCACCACCGCCGCAGCAGCAGCAGCATCAACCTTCAGATCCAGGGGCGGTGGCGGCATTGGCTTCATGTTTAGTGTGCCATATTCGTAGTCGTCTCTCGCTGCTGCGCCGCGCCACCCTTCACCACCCGACGGGGAGCCTCCCCGAAATGAGTTCTCCGCTATCGTTACTGGATTCAATTTTCACAACGTAACATGGTTAAGAGAGAGAATCGTGCCGGGAATATTGACTGCGGCACTCATAAAGTCAGGATTTCGAAATGTTATAACATTTTGCATTGTTAAGGGCGCGTCTGGCCGTGGAGCTAGAGGACGGCGCAACATTAAATAATACAATGCGCTCGTACCAACAAAAAAAAAATGAAGAAGAAAAAAACAGAGCTTTAATTTAATGACACCCATCCGCACAACCGAATGCGTGCTTGCAGTCCTTTTGCAGGACTTGTTACTTTTTGTTTTGGTTTTGTTGTCTGTCGACGCAAATCCAGCGACTGAATAATAATGAATGGACGAACTCACCTGCAAAACCGCTTTGTGCGACCTGTTCAGATCTAGATGTACATGGGTCATTGATTTCGTGGTTCCCTCTGCTTCCATTCTATTCATTTGACAGTTCCCATTAGCATTATGATGCATCACCTGTACGGGTTTGCAAATGCGAAAACCATTTTTCTCCAACACACACATTTCTGTTTTTTGCACGAAAAGTCACAAATGAAAGTTTTTTTGTCAATGTCATTTCTACAAAGCACTCTACAATAATTGGATATTAGATTCTTACTATAAACGTATATTTTTCTAATTAACTAAATAAAGGCGAATATTTTTTAAATGAAATATGTGAAAACCATTTTTTTTCAGAAGTTTTCAAATTCAAGTTTCTAAATAAATTATAACATTAACAAACATTTCAAAGCGCTCTATAAAACTTTTCCCATAAAATTATTGATATACTGTCAATTCATCCACTTTTTAGGGACAAATCCTATAAAATCCTCATTTATTGCCGAGAAAACAAATGGATGGAGCATACTAAAAACTAATTATCATCACATCAATCCTTCTTTCACTGAAAACATCAGCATAATTCATGATTTTCTATTAGAAAAAAATATGTTTAAAAAATAATTTTCAGAAGTTTTCAGATTCAAGTTTCTAAATAAATTATAACATTAAGAAACATTTCAAAGCGCTCTATAAAATTTTTCCCATAAAATTAAAGCAAATTAAGAAAATTATTGATATAGTGTCAATTCATCCACTTTTTAGGGACAAATCCTATAGAATCCTCATTTATTGCCGAGAAAGTAAATGGATGGAGCACACTAAAAACTAATTATCATCACATCAATCCTTCTTTCACTGAAAACTTCAGCATAATTCATTGATTTTCTATTAGAAAAAAATATGTTTAAAAAATAATTTTCAGAAGTTTTCAGATTCATGTTTCTAAATAAATTATAACATTAACAAACATTTCAAAGCGCTCTATAAAACTTTTACCATAAAATTAAAGCAAATTAAGAAAATTAAGAAAATTATTGATATACTGTCAATTCATCCACTTTTTAGGGACAAGTCCTATAGAATCCTCATTTATTGCCGAGAAAACAAATGGATGGAGCACACTAAAAACTAATTATCATCACATCAATCCTCCTTTCACTGAAAACTTCAGCATAATTCAATGATTTTCTATTAGAAAAAAATATGTTTAAAAAATAATTTTCAGAAGTTTTCAGATTCAAGTTTCTAAATAAATTATAACATTAACGAATATTTCAAAGCGCTCTATAAAACTTTTACCATAAAATTAAAGCAAATTAAAAAAATTATTGATATACTATCAATTCATCCACTTTTTAGGGACAAATCCTATAGAACGGAAACAAAATGGAAAATAACAAAAAATTACTTTAATCAGGACAACATGTACTAATCCCGATATGTCCCGATTAAACGGAATCACCTTTACGGAAAAAATAATAAATTTTAACAGAAAGATCACTCAGATGAAAAATTGGTTTATTCAATATTAATAGTAATAATATAGGTTATATAATAAGATTTACAAAAATAGTATAGAACTCATCCATCTGTGAATTCTGCCAGTATATCATAAAAAATATATACTATAATATTTGTATCATTCCAGAATATGATGATGCTCCAGACCATCGCGTTGATATGCGGATGCATCACCATGGCAACCGGTTGTTCCAAAACAATGATAAGTAAGTGTCATATTTTAGTTTTCTTCTGTTGTTAAAAGTGAACTTTACTGTGATAAATCTGTTTCGATATCCGTTTGATGTATGGCTCGATTTAGAAGTCAAATATCTTATCATTCATTCTGTTCTGTTTCAGATGGACACGGTGTGACAAACGGCGACAAGAACATGATTCTCGACTACCACAACAGGATGAGACAGTCAGTCGCAATGGGTCAGATCTCGGGTCAGCCGACTGCCGCAAACATGATGGAAATGGTAAATGGTTCACATTAATACCTCAATAGCGAATGCATTTGTATATGGCAGTGCACAAAATAGAAATAATAGAAAAGTTTTAATAAATCCATTAGTATATTAAATATGCAGGTCGGAGATGCGCCTTAATGGCGTTCCCATCGTAATAGTTTGAAAAAATAATTACTGTTTTCTCCGCTTTTTGTATATGATTTTAACTATATTTTTTATGTATTTGTGTATTTTTAGAAATGGGATGATGAACTGGCTCAGAGGGCGCAGAAATGGACGACATCGTGCTTGGCGGAGACCCACGACGGTGCAAGACACAGTTGTGAGTAGTGATTTTGGGATGGAGGATGGGGTCGTTTTTGGGGTCGTTTCTGTGTCCCGGCGGATCCGGTTCGCTCGATTTATAATAATGAACTCGTAGATGGATTAATTAAATGAGGCATTATTTAAACTTCCCGCGCCCCGCCTCTAACTAACCCCTAGAAAGTTTACGTGCAACGATCTACGGGGAGAAAACTTTACACTTTGCAGTCAGCCAAAACTCTTCATCCCCTTCCCCCTTCAAACACCCGCACATAACCGAAATAATAAACTGCTTTAGAGATTTTGGAACTCCCACACTCTTAGCAAATACTTTGCAAATAATTTATCATGAAACACTCCATTGCTTCGCTCCCTTAGGCCCAAAGGTTCCCTTCGATGAAGGAGGAAAGATGTGGAGAGAACAAAAAAAATATTTATATAACTAGAAGATTCATCCTCATTTATTACCGAGAAAGCAAATGGATGGAGCACACTAAAAACTAATTATCATCACATCAATCCTTCTTTCACTGAAAACTTCAGCATGATTCAATGATTTTCTATTAGAAAAAATATGTTTCAAAAATAATTAATTTGTAAACAAAATCTCAAACAAAAATTATCTTTAATTAATGATTATTATTAAATGAGATTCTTTTTTCTGAAAACTTTTTCAGTACAAATTTTTGAAAATCATTAAGCTTTTAATTGTAACAAAAAAAACTATAAAATAGTTATTAAACAAAAAAATATGTTGGTTTACTAATTTTGTCATATAAACCAGCGTTTCTCAACCTTTTTGTCACAGGACCCAACATACTTGTGCTTTGACACATGGTGACAGCTGTCAATTTTCGATCTCGACCCATAGGTTAAGATTTGTATAGACTTTTTTTCAAAATGAAAAGTTCTTAATACTAAGAACTTATTATCATCACGAAAGCAACAAGATTTTCTCTGTAAAAATATGGGTTGCGTCATTGATTTTCGATTATCCCGCTTTCCGTTCCAGCAAGATTTCCGGTGGGACAGAACATCGCGACCATGTGGACCACCGCCCGGCCCCGCACTGCATTAGACATGATGGCCAATTTCGATTACGCCATCGGCCGATGGTTCGACGAGTATAAATATTACAGCTACGGCCCCATCAATCCTTATTCACACTCCACCGCCCATTACACCCAGGTAAATATCACATCATTACTTACACTCACTCATTACCTATTCATAAACGCATAATGGTTGTATTTATTCCCAATTGATTTGCACTAAACCAAAACAAAACATATTACCATAGCAACTACATAAATACTATTGATAATCATTTGAAAAAAAAAAGTTGTTATGGAAACAATAATGATTGTATTAGTTTAATTAATAATTAAATCCTTGAATATAGAAGAAATTAATATCTGAAAACTAAAAGTAATTTACTTTTTACGTAATTACTAAACTAAAAATTAAAAGTTCTTGTAATTTTTATTATGGAAGTCAATGGGATTTGTACTGTATTAGCAAACTTTGTTTCTCTTAAACGGTAATTAGGATATAGTTATACCACGTCGGGGAAATTATGTTAAATCTTATTTGAATCTAAGTAGAAATTAATATCTCTAAATTAATTGTTAGTTAGTTAGTTAACTTCAGTAATTAAAAAATTATATCATCAAAAAAGTATATAAAATTGAAATAGTATTAAATTTATGTAACTTTTCTTTGAAAAAAAAAATTCTTATAAACTAATGAATACATGATACAAAATGTTTATTCCTCAAGGACAAATTGATCAATTATGATTGATAATAATGCATGCAGACGACTGGTTATGTTATATTTCGGAAGTAAAAGGAAAGTTTCTGGGATGAAAAGCAAATGTTATAAGAGGGAGTGTAGATGCTGTGAAGCATGTGAACTAAGTAATAGGAGATTGATGGAAAGACCAGTAATTAATTTATCGGACTCTTCTCCAATGGAACGTTTTCACGTGTGTATGATGAATCCTTCAGGGACTTCTTTCTTTCTCTCAGCGGAGAGAGAAGAAAAAAAAAACTTCTGACGAGGCCGCAACTTTTTCGCCCGCCAAATTCAATTAAGTCTATTAAAAAGGTCAACAGGAGGGTAGAGATTCGCGAAGCATAAAAGAAAAAAAAATTAATAGCGGCCAGACAACATCATATATATTGTTTTTGTTTCGGCGTCGTTGTTTTCTGTAAGAAAGCAGACAAATTTTTCATCAAAGCTAATATCAATTTGATTATGTAATTTTTTTTATTTTGCACAATAATATGTAATTAAATTGTCCACGCTGTAAACCATTCAAATAATAAGATAAAAGCAGAAAAGATAAAAAATTACAAGTAAATGAAAAAGTAACGCTTCTTTTATGACAACTTGTATTGATGCACATACAAAAGTTTAATAAATTGTCAAATAATGTAAAGAAATTTTATTGTGATTTGTAATAATTATTGATATTAAAATTAGATTATTTGTGATTTTAGATGATCTGGGCTGAAACTAATCTGATCGGATGCGGTTTCGCGTTTTACTTTGACGCTGCCAAAGGATTCACGAAGAACTACGTCTGCAATTACGGATCCAGGTAAGGACAATGAAACATGGGTTAAGGTGGATGAGGACGAGGAGCGAAATAAAATAGAAATAAGAACACGTTTTCAAGCTTCCGGATTAAATTGGAAGCGATTTAGTGTTTGGTTCTTTCTTTCTGTCTCTTTTCCGCCGCCGCTCTCGTCCCAAGAGAAATTTTATCCGCGAACCCCATCCCTCGAATAAATATGATTTTCCTTCTCCCTCTAATTAAATTAATATAAATGGAGAACACACAGAGTGCGAGAGAGAAGAGACAAGGTCCATTGTCCTCTCGTTGTGCCTCATCGCGAAAATTGATGATTACCTTTATTCCCTTTAATTAAATTAATATTACCTCTATCAGTCTGTACATACAAAAGAGGACTTAATTAATATCTCCGTAATGAACCGATCAAACTTGATACCGAGTCTAGCTGTAATCGGATCGGCCTAGCCGAAACATTCGATTGTGTTTATTAAACAAAATTTGAAACTCAATGTCATGGTAACTCGAGTTGAATACAAAGAGATAGAGAGAGAGATCAGGTTGTCTGAGGTGAAAATTGGTTGCAGCGGAAACGTGGTTGGACAGTTGCCGTACGCCAAGGGACGTCCGTCGTGTGAAAGATTCAATTTGGTGCCGTCCAGGAAGTATACAGGACTCTGCGGTAAATGGAATTTAACAATTGCCATTATTACTACTACTGACTTCAACTTCAACTTCTTCTTCTACGCTTCGTCTTTTTTTTTAGTTTATTCGTTCCTCGAGTTAAATCGTATTTCTGCTTCCAGACAAATCGAATCGCTACTTCTACGACCTGCAGACCAACTACATCGGCTGAAGGACGACCCCGGCCGCCTCCAATCTAAATCCGCGCAATTATTTATTGAAATCCCATTTATTTATTCCAATCAATGGTTGTACATACATTTATTCAATCACAATTTTATAGTGATCTTATTAAAATATACAATTTACTTATTAAATTCACTTTCTTTCATTCTACACCCAAAAAAAAATGGAAAATTTAATTATCTATCCTTCACAAGTACATCTTCTAAAAAATATTGATTGCATAACATAACATTAACTCTTAAAAGAATTTTGGTTAAAATAATTGACAAATCAATATTGAATTTGGTTCACTTTGTAATTATGTAATTTTTTTTGCACAATAATATCAGTTAATATTTGATTCGTTTTGTCAACAATAGTAAAAATTTGATAAATAAAAAGAGTATAGAATTTGAAAAAATGCAACAATTTCTAATAATCATTGTTTCCAACTGTTTTTTTTGCTTTTTATTTGTACACGTTTTGCTGTTAAATGTACAAAGAGAAGAAAAAAAATCACTGTGTACATGGTGATGGGCCCACTGCGATTTCATTTTTAAATTCGACGCGACGGTAAGAGGATTTGGGTTTGGAAGTGTCCCCACTATGTATATGAAATTTCACATCAATTGGATTCATTTTTAAAGCCCCACGGGAAAGCGAAAAAAAAATGTAATCAAAACTAAATTATACAAGCTCCGTTGATTTACTACAAAATTCGCACTAACACAATTAGTATTTAAGCTATACAATCTACGAACAATTAATAATTAACAAATTTAGTGATTTCTTTTTATTGAGAAATATTTGATTAATCTAAATTTTTAGTGGACAAAAATATTGATAAGAATTTATAAAATTGTAATAATCTTATCTAAAAGAAAAATTCTAATTAAATCACTTGAAGTGCTCTAAATATTGAGTTTTTAAGTTTTATTTTTTTTAATTAAATTAAATGATACAAGCCTTGATAAATTTCTATGGCAACTGAAACTTGATTTTGTTGCTAAGTTATATTATGTGTATAATAATTTAATTACTTAGCAAATTTTAGGTTGATTAAAAGTGTAAAGTAGGAGTAGGCTGAACTCATAACCTAAAAATATAAAAAATTAGCTGTGATTTTTTTTTAAAGGAAGTTGTGCAATTACACTTAGAAATGTAGCCAAAGACATGTGACCTAAGTTTAGAGCGTTCAAGGTTACTGGTTTCTGGGATCTCATTATAATCATCCTCATGTCATTTTGAAGCTTCACGCTTCCTCTGTACCAATCTGTAGTGTAGGCATCAGATCCTACGCCTGTGCTCTGAAAAAATGAATTAAATGTGAATTATGTAAAGAATTAATGATGAAAATACCTCGTTGATTAGTGTTTGACCGTAATAGCAAACTAATAGAAGTAGAAAAAGCCATCCCATTAGGTGAAGAGTGAATCTGATAAAATCAGCAGCATTCACGACAAGTAATTGAAAACCTAAGATGCTGATCACGAAAGATGTGAGACTGATGTGCATCAACATTTGGCTGCTGAAAACTGCATTGAAGTTGTCGCAAAACTCGATGATTTCGATGTGGTACCGAATGCAGAACAAAGCGCGTTTTTCCATCTCCGAACGATCCAAAGTTCCCAATTCTAAGATCAAAACTCGCAGCTTCTTCAGATGATGAGTGGCGTGGCTCAAAACTCCGCATTGCAGCATCGTGAGCATGATTATCACCCAAGTTACCAGTGAAACTAGAATTATTTGATGGAGATACATCAGCTCGTAAACAGGGCTGTAATCGAACCTAAACGGTTGTCGAACTCTTGAGACCAAACCGCAAGGTATTCCCCATTCCTTCATACTTCTTGTCTTATTATCCTCGCAATGCTGGATGGATAGGAGAGGCATACTCACGTACATCACGACACCAGCCGTTGAATAAAACAGAAGGATTTTCGCGTGAAAAATCGCTGTTTTATCCGTTTTGATCATACCTTCAAGATCAGAGAACTTCTGGAAACCTTTTATACGTGAAACTAATTTAACTATTCCTTTGCGATTACACAAAAAGCAAATCGCCATGTAGTGCTGTCCGATCACGCAAACTAAAGCTATGAGAGCTTGAATTATCGTTGTTAAATCTTCATCTAGAAATTTCAAATCAATTACTAATAAATTGAAGATTAATTTAAGCTAAAGAAGCAACCTCCAACCATCATAATACAATCCATGAGAAGTGGAATGGATGATGGTATTAGCAGGATCACGAAGCTGAAATTCCTGAGTTTGCTCAAGATCGTTGGATGCTCTAATTCGTTTTCCCTTGGCCATAAACCCAGCCATGTCAATAGCTTCTTGTGGAACTGCAGAAACTCGTACTTCTCCTCTTCATCCATCATACTGCACGTGCTTTTCCTTTAACCCAGTCTTTTATTGAATTGCTTTACTTTGAAGTGACAACCCTACAAATTTTCATACCATTAATAATGCAAGGCATCAATTGTATGATCGTCCCAAATACAACATTAACAAACAGTTCCATCTAATCATAAACAGTTTTTTTTTATAAAAGGAGAATAAGTACATTTGTTGGTGGTATAAATGTCATAAAGATGGGGAACTCAACAGTATCCACGTTTATAACTTTGCATAGTGTCATCTAATAAAATCTGTGTGGTAAGTTTAAATCTGTATGCACTTTTTAAATCGGTATGTTTGTGTTGGATTTACTAGTAGATTTTCCATTAGTTTATGTGATTGTAGTCTTCCTTGGTACCTTTCACTATGGTTTGTAATTTCTTCTGTTTTACTTCTGTTTTTTCTACTTGATATATTGGACTTTGCTGCTGTTTAATGATTTGATTGGACTATCCATCTGAAATGGCGCCTAGAGGAAATCATGGATGACGTCTTCTTGTTCGGGGTTATCCGATGGGAAAGTTTAAAAAAAACTTTAGGGAAATGATCCTAATTCCTAATTCGTTTTTTCTATGTTGCTCCTAGCTCCTATTTTTGTATACCTTGGTTTTTATAATCTTGTAGCATGCTGTTTAGAGACCTTTTAGCATAGTTATATCTTTGTTTTATCTCTGAGGTTTGCCATATTATTCTCAATTTACTTTTACTTTTACTTCCAAATTCCAGGTTGCGTTTTGAAGTTAGATGTTCTGTGGTAGCTATAAGTTCTTCTTCAGTTCACATATTAAAGTTTTGAAGTGTTCAAACTGTGAATTGGGTTTAGATTCTTTTAAATGTGAAATTACTAACATACCAGAAGGACCTACAGGTTTGGCAGAGGCAATTCTTGAACTTCGATCTAATACTGAAGCACGTATTCAATCTGAGACCAAAGCAAATCTGTCGTCTTTTTGGTTGTCAAAGGCTGCAAAGGCTTTCAAAATTGCACATGAGGAGGCAGTAAAAAATTGCTTCCATTTGCAACAACCTACCTTTGTGAACAAGGCTTTTCCACTCTAATGAACATAAAAACGTAAAACAGAAATCGATTAAACGCCGAAGACTGTATTCAAATTGCTCTTACATCAAAAAGTCCCAATTTTAAAGTAATTATTGTTACATTGATTGTTTTCTTTTGAGAATGGGGGGGATATCGACTTACGCAAAAATATTTTGGGGTAATGGTTAAAAAAGTTCCCCGACCGCTGTTGTATAGTGATGGTGTTTTTGATATATTCTTTGCCTGAGCACTCATCTAGACAGGATTCTGCGGTGAGATAATTTTGCCTCTTATTATGCAGAAATCTATAACTTATGGAATATGTCTTGGCCCCAGAGCATTAAAAAAGTCTTCAAACTTATCATCTTTACTATTGTATTATTTTTCCTCTTCTATAACACTTGCTTCAAGTTCCATTTGGAATTTTGATAGCTTGTGTCGTTTAATGGCACTTTTAATTAATATCGCTGTTCTTCCATGGAAAGAAATCGCATAATTGGGGTTTTCATGAAACTCCTATTTTTATTATGTGTTTCAGATATTAGCATTAAGTCTATATTTTTATAACTATAATAAACGCTTTTATTTCTTGGCAATGTTGATTTAAGCCCGTTGCCCATTGAGGTCTATTTTTAGGGCTTGTGGTGCTTTATGACTTAATATCTCTAAAATTTTGCAGACTGAATTTTCCATTTCCATATTTAGTGCGTAAGCATCGTCAAGGTTTTGTTGTCATCGTTTAGAAAGGTTGCATTTGGTTATACACATTGGGTTTGATTTTTTCTTGATGTCTTGATTGGTTTGGCGTGGTCAGTGTCTTCTTTCTGAAGCTCGGGTACTTTCTATTATGTGTCTTTTTCTATACATAATGTACATGTTACAGGCAGATTCATTTCTTTATTGCAGTCCTTGAATATATGACCACATTTTACGCATCGGGATTGACTTGTACAATATATTTTAGTGTGTCCATATTGCTGACATCTAATATATCTCTTCTGTCTTGGCGGTTAAATCACCACTTTACAATTTCTATTTTATTGGATTTCATATGTTTGTTCATATTATTTGTTGCTGCCATTTGGGGCCAGGTCAACAAAGAACGTAGCTTTTTGTGTTTCAAGTTTATTAATATTTATTATTTTATGACCTGTATTTCCAGGCTTTCTTTAATTTCCTCATGTTCCATTGTGTTTTTACCATAATTCTATAATTTCTTTCGCTTTTTAATTGATTTATGTCCATACTTTTCAGGTGTTTTATTATGATTTTTACCTATTAACTTTAGCCAATTGTTGTTTTTGTAAACTTCATCTAAAATCTTATAGGCAATAATAAGTAAACAAATATAAAAATAAAAGCAAATTTTAAAGAAGATGCTATTAAAGCAATTTGTTAACCGCACATTAAATGCGCTCCAATTCAAGTTATTATTTATGATAATAACGAATAATTAGAATTTTTACAGCTGTCTTTATCACCATTACGTGCAATACAAATCCACGCAATTATTTATTGAAATCCCATTTATTTATTCCAGTCAATTGTTGTACTTACATTTACACAATCACAATTTTATAGTGATCTTATTAAACTACATAATATACTTAATTACCAGAATCTAAACTCAATACCATAATTTAACAACAAAAATTAAATTATCATCTTTCTGCCCACAATTTACTTTTTTAATTAATTTTCTACTATCATCCTGTAAAAAGTTACACTCTACCTATTTTTTTGTCTTTTATTTGAACACGTTTTGCTGTATACATTGCGATTTCATTTTTAAACGCGACGGTAAAAGGATTTGAGATTTAGAGGTGTATGTATATGAAATTTCACATCAGTTGGTTTCATTTTTAAAGTGAAAGAAAAAAGTGTAACGAAAACTAAATTTTACAAGCTCTAACACAATTAATACTAAAGACTTACATTCTATGATAGATTGATTTTTTTACTAATAAATATTTAAAGTATCATAAATTAATCTACGGCCAAAAATATTGATAAGAATTTATAAAATTGTAAACACTTTATCAAGGACAAAAATACTAATTAATTCAAGTTAAGTGCACTTCATTTTGAGTACTTAAGTTGCATTTTTTTAAATGATAAAAGCTAATTTATATATATATATTTTTAGGCAGTAAAAGCTTTTCCTGTTTTATACATTTCTATGGCAACTAAAACTTGTTTTTGTTGCTAAGTTATGTATAATAATTTAATTACTTAGCAAATTTTAGATTGTTTAAAAGTGTGAAGTACGAGTAGGCTGAACTCATGACCTAAAAAAAAATAATTAGCTATTATTTTTTTCCAAATAACTTGTGGAATTATACTTAGAAATGTAGTCAAAGACATGTGACTTAATTTCATAGCGTTCAAGGTTACTGGTTTTTGGGATCTCATTATAATCATCCTCATGTCATTTTGTAGTCTTACGCTTCCTTTGTACCAATCAGTAGTGTAGGCATCAGACCCTACTCCTGTGCTCTGAAAAACATAATTAAATGTGATTACATAATTCACATTTAATTATGTTTAATATTATAACTGACCTCGTTGATTTGTGTTTAACCGTAATAGCAAACTAACAGAAGTAGAATGTAGATGAAGAGTGAATCTGATGAAATCAGCAGTATTCACGACAAGTAATTGAAAACCTAAAATGCTGATCACGAAAGAAGTGAGACTGATGTGCATCAACATTTGGCTGCTGAAAACTGTATTGAAGTTGTCGCAAAACTCGATGATTTCGATGTGGTACCGAATGCAGAACAAAGCGCGTTTTTCCATCTCCGAACGATCCAAAGTTCCCAATTCTAAGATCAAAACTCGCAGCTTCTTCAGATGATGAATGGCGTGGCTCAAAACTCCGCATTGCAACATCGTGAGCATGATTATCACCCAAGTTACCAATGAAACTAGAAGTATTTGATGAAGATACATCAGCTCGTAAACAGGGCTGTAATCGAACCTAAACGGTTGTCGAACTCTTGAGACCAAACCGCAAGGTATTCCCCATTCCCTCATACTCCTTGTCTTATTATCCTCGCAATGCTGGATAGATAAGAGAGGCATACTCACGTACATCACGACACCGACAGTTGAATAAAACAGAAGGATTTTCGCGTGAAGAATCGCTGTTTTATCCGTCTTGATCATACCTTCAAGATCAGAGAACTTCTGGAAATCTTTCACACGTGAAACCAATTTAACAGTTCCGTTGCGATTGGCCAAGAAGCAAATCACCATGTAGTGCTCTCCGACAATACAAACCAAAGCTATGAGAGCTTGAATTATCGTTGTTAATTCTTCATCTAGAAATTTCAAATGAATTACTAATAAATTGAAGATTGATTTAAGCCAAAGAAGCAACCTCCAACCATCATAATACAATCCATAACAAGTGGAATGGATGATGGTATAAACAGGATCGGGAAGGTGATGAGCCTGAGTTTGCTTAAAAATGTTGGATGCTCCAATTCGTTTCCTCTTGGCCACAAACCCAACCATTTCAATAGTATCTTGTGGAACTGCAAAAACTCGTACTCTTCCTCTTCGTCCATCATACTGCGCATACTTTTCCTTTAACCCAGTCTTTTATTAAATCGCTTCACTTTGAAGTGACAGCCCTACAAATTTTCAAACCATTAAAAATGCAATGCATCAATGGTATGCACCTCCCAGATACAACATTAACAAACAGGTCCATCTAATCATAAATAGGAAATTATAAGTAAAAAAGCAATAATTAAAGAAGATGATTTTAAAGCTATTTGTTTACCGCACGTGAAATGCGCTTCAATTCATGTTATTATTTATGATAGTAACGAGTAATGAGTATTATTTACAGCTGTCTTTATCACCTTTACGTGTAGGAATCCGATAAACCGTCCAAAACATCCCAATTAACATAGTTGAGTAGTATAAAAGTGTGAAAATGGTTGTACTTTGCAGCAATCACGCAATGCTTTTACAACTCATCATTCTGTCGGCTTCAGCGGCTTTCGCGGTAGCGGAAAACTGTCCTTCAGGTGGACAAATCTATGGTAGTTATTGAAATTAACTTTTTTTTTTGTATGTAATAATTAAACTGTTTATAGCCAGAGGTATCAGCCAGCAAGGTAAGAATGACGTGACTGCGGCTCACAATAATTTCAGGAAGATGATTGCGAATGGTCAAGTGCCGAATCAACCGCGAGGTGTTAACTTGAAAAGAATGGTGAATGCGTTTATTTTATTCAACTTAAAGATTTTACTAACTTGTTTTGCAGTATTACGATGATAATTTAGGAAATGGAGGAAGAATTGTTTCTAACACTTGCAAGATGAGTCACATTATTATGAAGGATAGTAAGTGTAGGATAATTGAGTTAATTTTCGTAATCAATGTGATATTTAGATCGTTGGGGTTGGGTTGGACAAAACCTTTACGTGGAGTGGAATTCGGCGAAGGAGAATAATCCTGTGCAGAATTGGAGCAAGGTTGTGACCTCTTGGTTCAACGAGCACAAAGATTTCAGGTATCCAAACACGGCTGTGTCAGGGAAACAGGTTGGTCACTACACTCAGGTCGTTTGGGCTGACAGCAACTACGTGGGATGCGACTTCATCTACTACTACGACGTTAACCAGCCTAAGTATCCTTACGCCAAACTTTACACTTGCAATTACGGACCTGGGTAAGAACTACACGAATCTAAAAGAAACAAATTTAGTTAAATAAAATTTATCATTTCAGTGGAAACTACAATAATCAAGCACCGTACAGAACCGGATCTTCTGGATGCGAAAATCTATGTTAAATAAATAAATAAATAAATATCACATAAAGAAAATTAGTAATAATAGCAAATGCACCAATGTTATGTAACATTCAAAATATACAATTAATAAAACGTTTCTTTATTTCTATCAAAAAAATTTATACCTACTTTTTTTAAAATAAATAAATATTTGACATAATGTTAGGATTTTGAATATTTAAAGAAACACAATGTTTTGGTTTATAAATTGTTATAAAAGTGCATTGAAATAACCTCAGGTTTACTTTATCAACGCTGCATGCATGAAGCGAACAATAAAACTGTTATCAATATCTTTTCTAAGTAATCGTGCTTAAAGAATTACCATAATAATTATCAAAACGTGACCAAAAAACCTGTATATAAAACTGAGATTTTTAACAATTTGTTCAACAGTCCGAAATGTCTCTTAAACAACTGCTAATCTTCGTGTTAATTGTTGCCTTTACTGTAGGCAACAAATGCCCATCCGGCGGTAAAATCTATGGTAATTGATACAATATAGAAAAAATATTTTTTTTATACAATTTTCTTTGAATTAGAAAGAGGAATCAGCGAAGGAGGAATCAAAGAAATTGTTGATGACCATAACTATTACAGAACTTTGATTGCCAATGGGAAGGTGAAAAATCAACCGAGAGGTGTTAACTTGAAAAGATTGGTCAGTTTATATAAATAATTTGTTGATTCTTTTTAATAATTTGCTTTTTAGGTATATGATAAAGCTTTGGCTTCGAAGGCTCGAACAATATCCGACACTTGCGACTTCAATCATATAACAATCAAAGATGGTGAGAGCACAATTCCAATACTTCTTGTAATTTTTATTAATTTTTGTTAAACGTAGATCGTTGGAAAGTTGGTCAGAATTTAGCAAGGGTTATGAGCAATAAATTGGAGGAGAAACCTGTTCAGGATTGGAAAAAAATTATTACAACTTGGTTCGATGAACATAAGCTTTTCGTTTTTCCTAACATCACGTCACCTAAGACAGGTCACTATAGCCAAGTGGTTTGGGCCAACAGCAAGTTTATTGGATGCGATTTCGTCTATTACTACGACGTTGACAAACCTAAATCACCATACACCAAACTCTACACATGCAACTACGGACCTGGGTATAAAGCAACCATCAACAACAAATATTAAGCAAACTTATTATGTAATTTTCAATTGTTTCAGTGGAAACGTCAAAGGAGAGGCGCCTTATAAAACAGGAAAATCAGGATGCGAGAATTTATGCTAAAAATGTAAACAAATCAGTTTTTTTTTTTGAGAAATAAAAAGTTTAGATTTTCCTTTTGTTAATATTTAGAAATAGATAGTTCTATTATTTTATGAAATATATATGTTTTTGCAATACAGTGATTAGAACACTTGATTCTATTTGTTTCCTCATTTATAAGTACTTTGTTTGGGTTCTATATTTACTAATCATATATTTCCAGACTTTCACAATTATTTTATTATAAATCAACATGCTTTTAGTTATAAATATCTACAAAAAAGAAAAACAGATAACAAGCTCTAGTTCAGGGTTAATTAATGAAAAAATAAAAATGTATATTAGAGATTGATCCAACGACCAAAACTCCACAGAATGTCCTGTGGTTTAAATCGTTTCAATCTTCGTCGATGAGATTCAGTAAGCTTAGAAGCAAGTTGGTTTAGATCAGCGGGGTAAATTACCCAAAATAAGGTAAAAATG